GTGTGTGTGTGTGTGTGTGTGTGTGTGTGTGTGTGTGTGTGTGTGTGAGAGAGAGAGAGAGAGTGTTCAAGTGTTTTTGTCAGCCATCAGACACGGTCTGCCTCCACCCCCACCGGCAGATCAATAGCCCCTGTTTGGACTACCACTAAGAACTCCACAACTGCAGTGATTAGAAAACACATTAGTGTTGATCAATTAGGAGCCAAACGCCTCACTTAATAATTGATGGCTCTTCTGGCATTTTACATACACATACACACACACGCAGGCGTCCACACGCACACACAGGCAGCAGACACTGTTAGTGTGCCTGGCCGAGTGGCGAAGAGACAGTGGGTGATCCTCAGACCCAACAAACGCAAGGCGCCATGCTGTATTGACAGGGCCGCCTAGTCTGAATGCCTGATTAGGCTCTCCGGGGCCCCTTTGGCGCTTACACACACACAGTCACACGGATTGGACTCCATTAGACAAAGACAGTGTAGTAGGTGAGATAGACTCCACTTAAGCAGCACTATCCATTTCCCTCAATCGAGCCACAGAGGTGTGTTTGAGCCAGACACCCTGGCTGGGCCTTAAGCGGACACAGAGGAGCCACACACACACAAGTGTCTCCTGCGACCACAGCGCTACAAGTTATCAGCAGGCATCTAGTGAACATGATGCATGCATGCACACACACACACACACACGCACACACTGCACTTACACCCATGCATCTTCATTGCCCGCAAAGGCCTAAAGCTAAGTGAACTAGAGAATACAGTGTATTTCATAGAATACTGGAAATGTAAACATCAGGCGTTGGATTTTTAAGCTCTGACTTCGTCTGTTTTCTTTGTTTCCTTCCAGACCTTGAAGACAGGCCTGACTATGGTGGGTAAAGTTGTCACCCAGTTGGCTGGCACAATACCAGCAGGCACTCCGGATGAGGAGGTCACACCTCACAGTGCGAGTCGCCGCAGCCCCCACAACCCCGGCGTGGTCACCATCATTGACACACACAGTGTTGGCGAAGGACAGGTCAGTCCAGTTGTTCTGCTTTTCTTTGTTATTGCTCATGTTTTAATAAAGTCTTTACAAACTCTCACACAACGTGTGCAGTATAATCCCAGTCTCATGTATTTAGTGGTATGCTTAGTATTTCCCAAGCACATGCATTTTTGCCAAAATCCTAATAATTAAAATGACTCCGCCACTCCTTCTGGTGTATGAGCGTTGTGAGTCCATGCATTAGAATGTAGTGGCAGAAACGTTTTTGCCATGGAGGCAGCGAGTAAAACTGAGTTTTCTCAATAATACAAGATAACACGTGTCGAGTAAACGATATACAAATGGTTATTTTGTGGGTGAAGTGTTTCTGTAATTCTTGATTGGGGGTTTTATTAAAAGGGTGTTCGGATCAAATTGGGGAACTTTGTCTTCCATTTTTTTCTCCTTACTTGTCTAATGTAAGCAGTGCAGACATGTTCGTGTTGTAGTGAAATAAAATCATCTACAGCACACATTGGAAATGTACAACATAGTCACGTAAACACACTTAGTGCTGTTGGATTTGATAACGTATTGGTCCGTAGTTGTGTTTATGTTTTTGTAAATTAGCTTTGAATCTTTTAATCCTGATTGATTATTTTTAATAAGTTCACAACCTTGCTTTTTGTTTTTAAATCAAAAATGCTGTTTAACACCTGCCTCCATTTACTGGAAATGGCAACTGCTGCAACATTTACCTTCCAATAATTTACAGACAAATGCTTCATCCAAAAGTCTATGAATGACATTCTTATTCACTTTTGCTTGGCCATAAATGAATATGTTATGAGGACAAGGTAATATGTAATGCAGAAATGATAGGGTAAAACAACTATTCCAATTCAAATGCAGTCCTTTCAGATTTTTACATCGCCTAGTCTAAAGATGATCAAGAAAGGGAAAACGTGGAGGCTGTGAAGTTGTTGAAGAAATCCCTTAAATGTGGTTCTTAGTGATTTACAGCCACCACGGGCAGAGGCCTGGCCACTATCAGTATCTAGAGCGGATGTGAGAGAATAGGAGTAAAGCTGCTGGGCCTGATGTCATCCCAAGCCGAGTACTAAGAACATGTGCCAACCAGCTAGTCGACGTTGATATTCACAACATATCACTGTCACAGGAGTGTTCCCACCTGCTTCAAGACCATCGTCCCTGTACCTAACAGGTCTGCAGTTTCTAACTTAAATGATTACCGCCCTGTGGCACTCGCCCCCATTCTGATGCAGTGCTTTGAGAAAGTGGTTCTCCAGCACATCCAAAACAACCTCCCAGCCAGCCCTAACTCTCAACCAGTTTGTATACAGAGCCAACAGATCCACAAAGGATGGCGTCTCCACTGACTCCACACTCAGCCCTCACTCATTTGGAAAACAACAACACCTACATCAGAATGTTGTTTGTTTATTTCAGCTCAACATCCAACACATTCTCACCCATCAAACTGATTGGAGAAGTTAGCACTCTTGGCTTGAGTATCTCACTCTGCAACTGGTTATAGGACTTCCTCACAAATAGACCAGACAGTATGGATTGGCGAACACACCTCCTCTGCTCTAATGTTGAACATCGGAGCCCCCCAGGGCTGTGTGCTCAGCCCCCTCCTGTTCACGCTGTACACCAAGACTGCAATCCTCATCATGTAGAGAACTCTGCTGTATCAACAGTAGTAAAACCAAGGAGCTGATTGGTGATTTTAGGAAAAAGGAGGCAAAGACACCCCCCCCCCCCCCCTCCCTGTCTACATCAATGGAGCGGATGAACAGATTTAGGTTCCTGGAAATCACAGTAAACCTCGCAAGGTCATCAGGTATCTCCATCCTGGTCAAAAAAGAGATCAGAAACAGCTGTATTTTCCAAAGAAAACGTATGAAGGCAAAAATCCTGTGCCAAGTTCTTGTTAACTTCTACAGTGGAGCAATAGCAATCATCCTGGCTGGAAGCATTACAAACTGGCATGGGATGTGGCACCAATTTGTTCTTGGCTTTTTGCCGCTCTCTCTTGTCATGTGTGACCCAGGTAAACATAACCTTGGCCTCTGCGGCTTGGTGGGAAACAGAAAAATCTCCAAGGTTGTCTTTTTTACACTTGGGCCCATTCACCTAACCCTGCACAACTCGCTGGAAGGTGTGACTTGGACTTGCTGCATATTTTACCAGCCAAGCTTTTAGCCACAGCCCTGTCTTTTTTAGCAGCCCTGGTAGGAGACGCTCTGTAAACAGTCAGCTGTTGGTCTGTAATCCTAGAGGAAGCTCAAGGCTGAGCGAGTGCACACGTCAAATAAGGTCTTAACATTCAATTTAGCTGTTTTTATTGGGGGGGTGAGTGAGAAGTTTCTGGCCATGTATATTTTTACTTTTAACATTTTTTCTCACCAAATTACTGTTGTCAAAGGGTGGGCCTTAAACAACAGTATGTATTTTTACAATATTGATATCACGAAATTTCACCACTTTGGCAAGCAGTCATCAAAATGCTGAAGAAAGTTATTGTAAAATATCTGCACGATTGTACTAGTTATTTGTTTCACTAGATTTTTCTGAGCTTTCGCACCATGAATAAAGGCATTAACCAATCACGTTGTGCAGATTGGACATATTCAAAATGTACAGTATAGTGTACAACAGGGAGGCTCTATAGTCAGAAATATGATAGCAAACTTTATTACTGCTTTCAACCTTGACAAAGTCAGCGCATACAAGATCCACTCTTTCCCTTCTTACCTTTCACAATAAAAGCCTTAAACATATACAGTACACCGATTCTGGTCCACCATAACCCGGGACCTCAAGTGGGAGCTTAACATCAGCTCCATCACTAAGAAGGCTCAGCAGGGGATGTACTTGATGCACCTGAGGCAGCTAAAGAAGTTCAACCTGCCAAAAACAATGACGGTTCACTTCTTCACTGCCATAATTGAGTCCATCTTCTCCTCCTCCATCACCATCTGGTATAATGCAGCCACTGCCGAGGACTAGGTCAAACTGCAGTGTCATTTGTTCTGCTGAGAAGGTGATTGACTGCAATCTGCCGTCCATCAGAACCAAAACCTCACGCCACAAAAACCGTTTCTTCCCAACTACAGTCTGGCTCATCAACAAGGACCGGGATCCCAATGACTGGACTCTTGGGTCCCCATAACAATTATTTACACATCCATGCACAACTGTACACTTTAAGTGAACACTTAAATAGCAGACTCATTTAACTTCTCTTATGTTATTTGTTTGTTTATCATATTCTATTGTAAATTAAAAACGAATGTTTTTTGAATTATGTCTTTATACTATTTTACTGTGTTTATTGTTATAAACCAGTCACCAAGTCAAATGAATTGGACGTGCAAACATACTTGGCAATAAACCGTTTGTGATTCTGATATTCCACATGGGTCTAACCCTGGTTATGGTTTAAACCATGCCAGTTGCCTTCAGAAGGATCTGCCTTGAACATGTAAAGAAATGCTAAAAGCTTTTATCCCCTTAACCATGATTGATCACACTGCAGTAGCTGTCACATTTTTAATGAGGCGTGTTTGCATACATAGTACAGTTTGTCAGTGATGTAGCCACCACACACGCATTCACCGCCTCCTCCGTCTCTCTTACACATGGACTGTAGCCGCCCTGTAGCCAGTGTGTTGTCTTATAAGCTGGACCTAAGCCTTCAGAAGCAGGCCTGGACTATGTCACCAGCCGACACACTGTAACCGTACACTGGCCATAAACACTGACTAGGCCTGGCCAGCAGGGAGCGGAGGAGAAATGGACGACGAAGGGGGAGGAGTGGGAGGCAGGGCGGGCAGTACAGAGTGAATTATGATCGGGGTTGGGCTGTTATTTTTGGTGAATTGGGAAAAGGCAGGTAAATGATAGACGGGTTCCTGTGTTAGTGTGGCGGTCCAGGATATTCCCATGTCTTGCAGGCTTTGAAATGCGTTATTTGGAACAGCAGCCTCATAACACACATGCAGACACTCTCCCCTGTGTACTGGGCTCGGTTCTCTGGAGGACACTCTTGTTTCAAAGGGCTCCAGCAGGATTCCCTCACAGAACAACACTGTCTGCCGGCATCGTAATAAAAGTGATCTGCTTCATGTCACCAGCCTCTTTCTTTCTTTGTATTCTCCCCTCCCTTTTTCCTTTTTTCCCCCTGCTTATTTTCTTGCTTGTAGTCTGAGACGAAAGCCCTTTAGTTTTTCGAAGCTGTTTCTTGTTTGGACTAGTTCCTATTTAAAATGCTCAGCCAGCCTCCCTGACATCGTTAATGCAACACTGCGGCCAAATGCAACCCTGTCTCACGCACACACACTTGTGCACAACGTGGCCCCATGTCTGGTCTTATTTCTAATCTCTCTTCATGACTAAAGGGATTTTCTGCCAGCTCCTGGTCCTGGCTCAGCCTTTGTTCGATTCGTCCCCGTCTCGACAATAGACTTCATACAGAGATTTAGGAGCAGCCTCTAGTTGTGCAAAGTGACTCATTTTCTAACTTTCAGAAGTAGCAAGCCAAACCCAGATTTGACGCCAGTTGCTGCCTGTTTACGGGAAAACCCGGCCGCTGTCATGGGGTATTGTCAAAGCCACATGTGAAAAGCCACATTATCGGCAAAGTAAATTTGTCCATACTCTTGTCTGTTGTTGGGCCATACCCCGTCCACACTGGTCTCAGTACAGCCTCTTACTGAAGCACCAGCACTGATCAAATATAGCTGTGACTAAATGGTTCTTCATTTCTTTGATGCAGAACAAACAGAGCGATTTTGAACAACTGTTTGTCTTTTTTATTGCCTATCAGGTAATAGGTTCATTATTTTCTATCCACAAGAGGGCAATGACACATTCAGAAAGGAGCTCGACCTCCAGCTATTTCACTGTGGGGTGATGTCAAAGAACACTGCTGAGTGTGGTGATGATATCACACCAAACCAACATGTGGAGAGAAATCCTAGAGCAGGGGAAAGTCCCGCTCTGGGTTCAATGTTCTTATTGTTATAAAATGATTTTGAGTTTCTGTGTGTGTGTGTATATATACTCCAGGTCTTGGTGAGTGAGGACTCGGACGGAGAAGGAGTGGTGGCTCACTTCCCAGCTCATGACAAACCCATATCCTGTATGCAATTCAACCCCAGTGGTAAGACACACTTTTACTCGCACACACGCACACATTTTTTATTTTTTTTGAGGAAAGAGCTGGAGTGCTCTATGCAAGTTGGGAAGACATAGGAAGCAGGAGAGAGATTACACATCCATGCAAGTGTAACATGGTGTGTGATTGGCTCACATGAGGCCTCATCCAGTCACCCAAATGCATTCATAGTGTGTGTATTCATTTTGGATTATACACAATGAACAGGTGTGTAACTTGAGTTTCCCCAACACATGCCTTTACACCAACCTTAAGTGGCAGATGCTGATATCTCCATAGAAGCATATATCTCCTTCCAACCACTCTGTGTAACGAGTATCTCTATTCCAAAACGTTCAAACATGATTAGCTCCAAACCTACAAAATCAGCCTAAAAACAGAAGAAAATCAGAAACCATTGCATGAGAATCTATGGAGCAGAGCCGGACCGTTGTTGGACCCTGGTGCGAGCTGGCTGATGCTACGCTACGATTGGCCAGTCTGCATTTGTGGGGCGGGACTTAGCAAAGGGTCTATTGGAAGGTTTTCTTCACCCATTTCTACAACTGTTAAACTGGGATCTGTGCGGTGTCATTCAATAGACATGCAGCTTCTCAAGTGACTACCGGTCAAAAATGTAAGATATTATTATTATTTAGATATACCTTTTTTACGATGTATTTTAAAGTGAATGAATCGGTGTGCTGAACACTCCTTTCACACCATAGTGTTTTAGTCCGGCATCTCTTTTTCCACTCTCTTAGCAATGCTGACCCCAAACATAAAGGGACAGTAGGTGCTTTGTAAGTGTGAACAGGCTACCTCGTCAGTCTGTGTGTGAGCTTGTGTATGTTCCTGTTACTCCTGTGGTGTGTGTGTGTGTGTGTGTGTGTGCGTGTTCGCGTTCACTTATTTTATGCTGTGTGTGTGCGAATGTGCAGTTAATAAAGGAGCCGCTGAGAGATGACTCTCACCCCATGACCTCCAAGCCCCAAGAATCCTTCACTTACCTCGACTTATGACTAAACTCAGCAGCTCTGTCTGAGCAGGATCAGGAGGATATTGCAGACAAAGGCAGACAGGCTGTCAAGACCCCACCTACTCCCACCTTCACCTCCCCAAAAATCACATAGAGAAAGAACACAACCCAGCTTAGTTCAGCTAATGGCACTATTACCTGCTTTAAAGTACAACAACAAAAGAGACATGTTTTACGCTTCTGCGATGCCGCCGTGCGTCGGGACGGCTAGTCATAGTATGACTATTTTTGATACCGATGCCTTCAATTCAATACCAATAACACAATGATTCTATTTTTGATGCTTTGTGTGAATGAAAACCTCAGAGCCTAATGAGTAGACCCACTATGTTTCTATGAATACATGTCTCTACTGTTTGTAAAATTGTTTATTAACATTCAGTTTTCTTGAAATGACATTGTGAAAGAGGTGTTATGTTAAAGCAAAACCAAAATGTTTGCAACGTCAAAAGAAAATATAAATCAAACAGATTCTACCATACTACCAAATTCTGAAATCAAATTGAACTCTTACAAGTTTTTTCTTTTTTTATATATATTCATCAGTTGCTTTTCCAAATATATATTGTCAATTTTCAAAATTCACACGAACCACGCTTCACATTGAAAGAGTGGTTCATGTATTAGATCCACTTTATTAAAAAAGGTGACTAGCTAACCAGTTGGGCGCGCTCACATGCACTAACGTGCTCGCACGGCTGGGCCGGCTGTGTAAATGACAGACATAGAACCTGGGTTTTCAACACACGCACAGAGGGAGAGAGACTTCATTCTCTGCTCAGGTTGAGATTACTCAAATAGCTGTTTGCTGCTGTATTCACTCTCTGAATTTAGAATTCAGCAGCTTTAATTTGTTGCTGGCCGAATGGCGAGGCTCACACAGTCGCTTTAAAGCTTGGTGAATCCCTCTTAGGGTGGTGTGTTGCAGGTACAGTCATTAACCCAAACAGTTTCCAAAACATTTGATAACCAGTGACCAGCTGTTGCCAAACTAGCCAACATGAGTTGTAGGAAACATTAAACAGCAGGAGCCAGTGAAGCTGAATTTGTGCAGCGCAAACTTTAAATTACAGCCATTACACATTTGGAACATGAAGTAAATCATGTTCACAAAGTTTCTAACAAACCGTTTCATTTGTTGCGGACGTGAACACAAGTAACCAGCGATGTAGATGTTAAAGGTCACTATGCTATGTCAGGTTCTTGAGGTTTCTATGGTCACTTTCATTTTAATACAAATGTGTGATTTGTGTTCTGTCTTTTTCAAACCTTTTACTCCGTTAACATCAAAGCTAGGTTTCCACAGAGCTGCACCCTCAGCAGAGCTGCACAGTAGACCTGGTAGTAAGTTTCAGTGTTCATACTGAATCTCCGTCAGCCTTTCCACAGCGAACCGTCAACTTTAAAATTCCAAACACACTTTTAATCTTTCGGACTGTGAGCCGAATCTAAAGAGCAGATACATGTTACAAATACAACTGAAGACAGCACCAGAAGTGTCTGCAAAATACACAGATTTCTCCTTTTGCCCATTTTAATCCGGGCGTGTAATGAGATTTGGACGTGTCTCCACACAAGAGTAGAAACTCCTCTTTTACACTGCTGTGACTGCAGGACTCCTTTCATTCGTGTTTATTCTTTTATTCTTTTTCATTTCTGAGCTGCCTGCTGTGGACCGTCCCATAATGAGAGGCCTCTTAATTTGATCAGAGCCCAAATCCTGAGTGACGTGTTCATTGGTCTGGCTTGAAGTGAACTCTTTCCAAGGATTTAGGGGAAGTGGCTTTTACTGAACTACCTTGCTGGGCCTTCTAAGGCTCCCTTAGTGGTCGAGCTCAACATGGTAGAAAAAAAGAAAGGTATAGATTTAGCAGGAAACAATGATATGATTCAAACAGAGCATGGAAAGCCCTGAAGTTTTGGCCGGGAAGAGTTATGTAAGAAACCCCAGTGGCTTGTGTGTTTTGGAGGCTCTACAGAGGGCGGGTCGGTGGCCGCCAGCTCTTGGTGTGCCGGCTGGCGCTTTGCGGCACTTCGGTCGATCTGTGGATCTATTCCTAGTGGTGTAATTAGAGGGACGCAGATGAAGTGCAGTGGCAAAGCGCTTTCTTTAACAGCTGCAATGTGTGTGTGCTTGTTTTCTTTCACGTCTCGTCCTCTTCACCCCTGCTTAACGATCCTTGACTTGATTATTAGGTACGATGCCAAGGTCAAAATACACTCCTGTTTTGATGGCAGAGATACTGTCCGACATCTTGTGCATTACTTTTGAGTGTGACTGGCACTAGATGGAGTGATTGATCCAGCAACCATGCAAGGATCAAGTGTTCCACATGCAGTGGTGGGAGAAGTATTCAGACCATTTACATAGTAAAAGTAGCAACACCACCATGTATATAACATATTCAGAGGTTTTAGTCCTACATTTCAAACTTTACTTAGTTCAAATTAAAGTCAATGGAAAAATGTACTTCGATATCAAAACAAAAAACATTCATTATGAAGAGCAGCTCATTTCAGAGCTAATTTATATACATAACTACTTATGTTTTGAGAAGAAATAAGCTAACGTTTTATATGATGGTTGTTTCTTACAGTAGTTTATTTGGTCAGTAGTCCGTGTGAGTTAAATACGTTGGTAGGAAGAGGGTTCAAGAGTACTGTTGGGCATGGATGTTCCACATCTCAAGCTAGTAGTTCAACTGAATGAGTGCGTTATCGTGCTGCCTGTACGGAGACATGAATGACTCATATATATTGTATTTAAACTAGATGCAGTATACCTCCACCTTTGTGCTGTGAAGCATCTCTTGCATTACCTTCTTCAGTCTCATAAAACACTGGCACAGAATCAGAAGTTGATTTTTGTGCAGCCGTTCAAATGTTCTGAATATGGAAGTTGTGAATACCCCATCAAAGCCAGGAGTAATGGCAGATGAATCAAGACTGAGCCTCTCCCCACACGGAACTGTCCCATAAACCATGCCCCTGGTTTAGTAACAGGACGGTCTAATGAATAGCCTGGCCCGCCGAGCCTGAACATTGAGGCAGCTGTGCCGTGAAGGCAGCTCTCCATGGTGTAATAACTCTGTCTCTCCATCCTACTGATGTGTGAAGGAAACCAGGCCGTCGCCGACAAACCCTGGACCCACACGCACATGTTGAACACGAGGGGGAACTCCCACACGCAGGCAGCTTCGCTCGGCCACACATTTATAGCCACACGTTTAGCATGAATTGAGTTGTGTCTTCACACCAAGATAGTAATTAGCACTCACAGCTGGCTCTGATGTGATTTACAACAGCTACTCTGCAGGGCTCTCCCAGTATTGTCACTGGTTGTATTTCCCATTCTGAATTCTTCTTAGACTGCTGTACTGTTGGGTAATGGTTTAACAGTGATTACAAGTTGATAGTGGCAGTCTTTGTTAAAGAAGTTGTCAAAGCCAGGGCTGGTGCCTCAGCTATATTTCCCAAAAGAAGTTAGTGCTTTTCTGTGCTGTCCAAGTGTCCATGCTATCAGAGGCATGAGGGTCCATAACTTACTTACTCTAGACATTCAGAGCATTAATATAGCAGCACACAACTATTTTCTATGTAAAGATGTTGTGGAGTATTATCTACCTGATAAGAGAATGAAGTCATCTTCACTCTGTGTGTGTGTTTGTGTGTGTGTTGTAATCTTTTCTATGCTTTGTTTACATAGTTGGGCTGGCTGTGCGCGTCTTTGAGTGCATGTGAGCTTGCCCCACCCACGGCCTCCGCTTTGCACCGCTGTCAAACGGCGGTTACAGCTGATACAGCTCAGCCGTCGCCATGTGGAGGCAATAGATCGTCTCTGACTTTCGTTTGGAGCACATTTAAACCATGTATTGGCCTTTCATCTTTTTGCTGTCGCAATAACGTAGTCAATATCAAATGGTTCTGCAGTACAGAGCCGAGCGCTCTCTGAAGTAATTGTAGAAAT